TAAGGTGTATTGTGTGTTAAAATTGGAGTATTCAGATCTGTGGGTTGAAAGGAAGAAAAACAGTCACTCACTCACTATCCGTGGAAACTAAACGCTGTACAATGTCCTATTCATAAAGATACGGACCTTCCCAGCCAATAAGTTCTTAGTACTAAGCACTTCCTCTTGAGAAAATGAAATTCTGAGGACTGAGTGGGGGCTGCCGTCTGCTCGGAGCGTGGCTGTTCGCACAGGTGATGTTCCCTGGGGGCTGAGTTGGGAAAGGGAACCCTGTCACCTTGGGCTGCGGGGAGAGCAGGTGGTTTAACCACTAGGCTGAGCAGCACCCCCTCTTTGGGAGCCAGGAAGCCAATCACAGGCAATCAGGGACATTTTCTGAACCCTAGTCTGGACCTAAATGCCCCGTTCTAGGTTCCAAGTCACGGGGACAAGTTTCCAGGGGCTCACAGTCCATTATGCAGACAAGCCTCTCCTCCCCTGTCTTTAAGTAGAGAAAACAGCCCGAGTGGTTTTGGGTCCCCTCCGCAGCAGCCCACCCCCTGCTCAGCCTGAGAGCCTGAGCATATGCTCAGAACCTGAGCGGGGCTCAGAGGAGAAACCTGGAGGGGTGAGACGGGCAGGAGCCGGGCAGACCTGGGCAGACTAGGGGCTTCTGTTCTGGAGCTTACTTGACCAGAACTGATCTCAGTGCAAGGCAAGGGCCAGTGTTTCCATGCCCCATGTCCATCAGCCGTGGGCTGTGGCTGCCCCAGGGAGGCGCCCTGGTGTTTTGGGTGAAGTGGCTTCATGGGCCTTTTTTCCTGAGCAGGGTGCGGCCCTGGGGCTCCTGGCAGTGGGGGATGGGAGCATGGCCAGACCTCTGGAGTCTCTGGCCCTGGAGAAGGACGTCCTTCCTCAGTCATGGTAGGGAGAGAGCTGAATGGGGGGGCTCCTGAGACCCTGGTGCCTACCCTGTCCCATCCACGTGTCACATGCGCCAGTGGGGAGTGACAGCCCCTGTCATGACTTAGGCTGGCAGGGGCAGTGTAGGTCATCTCTGAGGTCCCAAACAACCCAGACATCCACAGCACCCGATCGGCATTCTGCTGTGCCAGTTCCTTATGAGGGGAAATGGAACTGAGTTTATCAAAGATGATGGAGCTGAAGGCGCTCTGTCTTTGACGGGCTTGTCAGGTCTCCTGTGAGGAGCCTCAGCCATCGTGGTGGGAGATGGAGACTGGCAGGACTCTCCCATGGTCTCCCTGCGCCCCGTCCTGATGACTTTCCTCACCCCCCACCTCTGTGCCGAGAAGGGGGCGCCCATCGCTAAGATGTGGCCTGAGAAAGGGGAAGGACATAGAGCCATTATGAAATACACCGATGACTTGGCACCTGTGAGATGGACGGGGACAGCTGCCTCCATTGAAGCATTCAGGAAGGACAGGGAGCAGGGCTGGCAGGGCCAGCGGGCCCGGGGTCAGGTGCGAGCCCTGCAGCTCGCTCACTCTGAGGCCTCAGTTTCTTCTTCTGTCGAATGGCAACATGCCGCCTTGACTTCGGCTCCCACCAGCTTCCCTGAACTTCTCCAGGCCCTGCCTGTTCAGGTCCTGCCTTTGCTCAAAGCTTTGCTCTCTCCTCCCTTCCCTGGCACCTCCCAAGTTCCTGGTCTCCCGTGGGACTCCGCTCCGATGTCCCCTCCGCTGGGATATTTCTCAGTTCTCTGCGGGTACTCACTGCTCCTCCCGGCTTCGACAGCCCCTTTTCTTGATCGCAGCCTCCTCTCCTTAGGTCAGCAGCTTTCGTTTCCACTTTGGCGTCTTTACCGTTTTTAAGCACACAGTTCAGCAGTGTTAAGTGCACTCACGTTGTCGTGCAGCCGTCACCACCATGCATCTCCAGAGCTCTTTTCATCGTGCAAAACTGGAACTCTTTCTGCATTAAACAATAGCTCGTCATTTCCCCAGCCCCTCGCAACCACCATCCTCCTTTCTGTTTCTGTCTCCTCCTGTCTACACTCGGCAGCTCCTGTAAGTGGAATCACTCAGTATTTGTCTTTTTGTGGTTGACATGTTACTCAGCGTAATGCCCTCAAGGTTCATCCATGTTGTAGAATGTGTCAGAATTTCCTTCCTTTTAAGACCAAATAATATTCCAATGCATGGATGGACCGTATTTTGTTTATCCAACCATTCATCCATCCATCCATCCATCGACACGTGGCTTGTTTCCGCTTCTTGGCTACTGTGAATAATGCTGCTGTGAACATGGGTGTATGAGTGTTCTACTGAGTCTCTGCTTCCCCTTCTCTTGGGTGTCCACCAGAAGTGGGATTGCTGACGGGCAGCATTTCCTGTTTGCAGGTCCGTCTCCCCACAAGCCTATGAGCTCCTTGTGGCTCCAGTAAGTCTTAGCTCTGCATCCCTGGCCACGTGAGGGCTTTATCCTAAATATCCACTCAGTACCCTGAAGGTCCATTCAGTACCCACTTGTTGAACTAGTGAATGAATGAATCCTGACTCCTGGATTGTCACAGGACCACATAAAATAATGAAAAGTGCAATGTGAAGTATGTAGCAATAATAATATCAGTTCAACAAACAGACTGTGTGTAACGAGATTTCATTTGGAGAATTCTTAGGGAGAGAGTTATCTCTGGAAGAAACACTTTGATAAATGGCTTGTGGTACAGTAAGGTCCCTAAGGGAATCTGAGGCCACAAAGTGATGGCTGGCTTCCTGAGGTGAGGAGAGCCATTTCTCTACCTCCTAAGAGAGGGAGGAGAGATAGGAGAGGGCAAGAGAGTGAGGTGACACAGTCAGGCTGTTATTCCATTTACTCCTCCTTATGACCCTGTGAAGTTGGTGTTTCTATTAAGCCCATTTTACAGATGATGAAACTGAGACTGAGGGAGTTTAAATCCACCAGTGCTCATCAGTGGTGGTACCAGGATTTGAAGCTAGATCTTCAGAACGCACCGTCTTGGCTGCCATGCTCTACTAAGAGAAGAGAGAGTGGCAGGTGCTGTTTTCTTGGGGCTGCGACACCCCTGTATGATCCCAGATCTTTAGTCACAGCTACCAAGCTCTCAAATTCTCAGTTGAAGGGTGGTGAGGGAACGAAGGGATAAGTTCGCCACTCAGGTTGGAGTGGAATGAAGCCAACAGCATGGGTGGACCGGCACTTGAGGCGGAGAAGGCCCTGAGAACTTGCAGAGACCATCAGCAGCACTTGGGCATCAGGCGGATCGAGGGAAGGTTGCCAGGTCTCACAACCTTGGGGCTGCATGTTAGTGGGCCGTGGGCTCCGGAGGTGAATGAGGCGTGGCTCCTGCACCATTACCTAGGGTGTGTACTCATTCCAGCATGTATTTATTCATCAGGCAGTATTCACTGAGCAACACTGAACAGGCCCTGGTCTAGGGCCCAGGATGAGGGCCCTGCCCTACTGCAGCTAATGAGGCTAGTGGTGAGGCCAGGCAGCAGGAGACAAGCACATCTAGTGCCCATTGCCATGGGGAGGCCTGCAAGCCTTCGGAGCAGGGACAGCTCAGGGAAGGCTTCCTGGAGGAAGTGAGGTCTCAGATAAGAGGTAAAGGACGAATATAGTTAGGAGGGGAGGAGGGCAAGCAAAAGCATTTCCAGGCAAAGAGCACAGAATGTGGGAGGGTATGGAGTCAGAAAGAGCACATGGTGTTTTGGAAGAATTGAAAGAAGTCCAAAATAGCCAAAGAAGGACTCTGGGGTGGCGAGCTAGGCAGGGGTTCCTGAGCACCCTGGATGCCAGCAGGTCACTACACAACCTGTGCTCCCATTTGGGTCTGTCACTCTGTGCAGCCAGCCCTGCTGTCTGGGCAGCCCTCTTGTCTGTACACTTTCTGTCGATGCTTAGCTGGACTGTTTCAGGGGGCGATGTCCTCGCTCCGCTTGGTGCCTCTCCACCCAGACACCCCCATCGAGCCAGCAGATGACCACAGTGAATCCCCGCCATGCCAGGCACTTGGGCAGGAGAGACCCGGGAGCTGTGGTCGTCATTCCCTTGGGGCCCCGGCGCCCACTCGCTGCTAGCCTGGGCCCATTCTGCTCTACCTGCACGGCTTTATCTGGCACAGTTGTCTCAGGCTTGGGAATGTGAGCGTCCGATTCCATATTGTCACCAGAACGTAAGCCTCTCAAGTTCAAGGTTCACGTCGATCATTTCAGCGTCCTCAGCTCTTCTCCCCATCCCTGTCTCGTTTCACACGCACTCTGTGTTTGTTGAATGCAGTTGAGTTGCTAAGGGAAGAAAAAAGTGGGTTTGTTTTTTCCCCACTTCCTAAATCACTAAAGAATGTCTGAAACTAAATTCTCCCCTTTTGATTGCAGCTTAAATACTGTGGCTAAAATTTGTGTAGGAAAAGGGAGAGAGGTTTACAGATCCGTTTCTGAAAACCGCATTGACTGTTAACATATTAGCACCTGCGAGACTTCTATTTTCTGCATTTCTAAACCTAATTTCTTCATCCACTGGTACTTGCTGAGAGACTTTATGACTTCCTCGATTATGAACTCGCGTAAGTGAGCCCATTCGTAGTAATATGTGTAATTACCTCAAGATGTATAACACAACAGACATGAAACCAGCATGAAACCGACATGTGTCGAGAAACACATTTGGTCGTGTTGAACAGTGAGCCGTGGTTTGCATGCCTTATTAACGACAAACAACGTTCCATTTTCTTTATTTCCCCCAGCAAGAGTAGCTGTTAGATTAAAATTATCCCTGTGGATTTCCCTTGCTTGCATAACAGTAGCTTAATTTACCCAATTTTAAGGGAAGGGAAGAGAGGTACTTGATATATGCAAATACCCGTTTTCCGCACACTCAGATCACGTCTTAGTGGTTGCTTAGACCATCACTTAGAAGGGGACATATATCCGCGGGGGCGGCTTCCCATCTCCCAGCCTCTGTCTAGAAACTTCTGGAATGTGTCCTCTTGTCCCTGGGGCTCAGCAGGAGCTGGATTTTCCTTGACCGAGGCTCACCCCTCTCTGAAGCGCACCGGCGAGGCGAGTGTAGAAGGACTCCTGAACCAGCTGGTCCTGGAGCATCTGCAGCTGGCGCCTCTGCAGTGGGGTGAGTACCCGCCCAACACCTCTGGATGAATGCGCTTCTTTTCTCGAAATGTGCAAGCACATTCTTGGCAGTACGTGCTGAGGTCCTCACGGGAAACCTTGTGGGGAGAGGAGCTCGCCATGCTGTGTCGGCGTCTTCACGTGCTGGCATCTCTGTCGGCCGACTGGCCACAGGCAGATCTGCGTCTCGCGTGAGCTCAGCACCTCAGGTGTGTCCTGTCAGCACAAACTTGGGAAGGGGTTCAGTGCCCTCAAAACCCAGATGCGGGGAAGGATGTCGCGATAGCTCGCGGGTGCCCGTTGCTGTCGAGTCGGCCGTCCTTCACGGTGGCTTGTCCAGATGGGCGTATCTCCTGCAGATATTTCTGGATCTTGTGTGTGTGGAGTGGTGGAAGAGAATGAGGGGGTTACATCCTTGCTCTTACTTCACTCTGGTGGGTGAGCTTTGAAGCTTTTCACGTTGTCAGTGTGGAAGCGTGTGGGGTAACTAAACCCAACTTGGCGCTCAACCCTTGAGAGATCACCATGATTTTATTTAACGTTTAATGTATTTGAGCATTTACTTCCTGTGGCACCCAGGAACTTTTACTCCAGTCCGGGTGTTTCTAAATAGCAGTAAAAAATATCCTGTTGAGAAACAAACTAAGCGTAGTATTTTTACTGAAGTGGAAGATTTTCTTATTCTCTGGAAACGATTTCGTCATGTAATCTTATTTGGGGTCAAATGTGAACAGTCGATTATTAACACATATGTATCTTCCTTCTTTTCTCTACCCCGGAAATCATTGTAAATTAATATCTGGTCTTTTCTCCAGTTAATTCATAAGCTTAATCTCCTTTTGCATGCTAGAGACACACGCAAACTATCCCAGGGGCTTAAAGAGAAAAGCCTTTCTCCTGGCATCCCCTCCCCCCATCAGTTGTGAGAGCCCCTTACGCTGCCTGGGGGCGTCTCCCCTCTGCTGGGCGCGCAGCTCCCACAGGGCAAGGCTGTGGGGAGTCCATGCGCAGCTGTCATGGCAGCTGGGAGTGGACTGCCTTCTCCACCCAGGCGGCTCCTTCTGTGGAATCTCCTTCCCCTCGAGATCCAGCCCGAGTGGAAGGAAGGGACGGTGTTTCTGCAGAGGGGTCACCGTGTGCACCTCTGGGGGCTGCCCTCAGCACAGGCACTTTTCTGGGTTGGAATGTCGTACCTTGTGATTACCTGGGCACAGTCAGCTGCTTCCGCCAGATGTGGGCAGCTGAGGAGGGTCAACCACCAGAACCCCCCTCCCCTCAGGGCTGAGACAGGCCCCGGGGACCCAGCCCTGTGACACAAAATGAAGTAAAACTTGTACTAATGTGTTGTGTCAGTGAGAAGAAATAAATTCTCCAAGGCACCAGCTGTCGCGCTGCAGCCACGCCCTGGAGTGAGCCCGAGGAGGGTCTGACTCATCCGGAGACCCCTGGGAGGGGTCTTGGGACAGGTCAGAGGTCCCTTTGCTGTGTGGGCCTTGGTTTCCTTGCAGGTGCTTCCCTTTTCTGTTCCGCAGCTGTGAGTGATCTGTCACTTGTCATAGTCACACATCACCTGCACACCAGTATGTTGGCAAATAATGCAGCTTTTCATAATTTTCATAAAGTCATGCATGACTTTAAAAAAAATCAAATGAAGACCTGAAAGGCATTTCTGCCGAGAGGCCTTGCTGGGAGGCCTCGAGCCGTTTCCTGGCAGCTGAGTGGGCAGCTCCGTGCTACACTTTCAGTCTCCCAGCGGCGTCCTGCCATGGCCCAGTTCCTGTCTTCATGGCATAAACATTCTCCAGAAACACTGCACAGTATTTTCCTGATCGGGAGTCATAATGAATTTAACTATTACCATATCTGGCTGTTTACAGGGAACATCTTTACGTACAAATTTTTGTTTGATTTTCTGACTAGACCAGTCTTGTAGTTTTGGAGTTACTGAGTCAAAAGACACGAACATTTTTAAAGCTCTTGAGCTTTTTTGTTGATTGTATGCATGACTGTAGATCATGACGTGGGCATTGTGGGAACTTGGGTTTCTGAGGTGGCTTTCTCACTGCTGTTGTGAGCGTAGTTCCACTGTGGTGGCCCGTGGGAGACGGTGGTGAGCCTTGTCTGTCTCCCTCCTGCCAGTGCTGGCCTCCCTAGCCCCCTGTCCATCCTCAGCGGGGCAGGGTCCTCGTCGCTGGGCTCCATGCACGTTGCCTACACCCTCCATACCACCCCTGCAGTGGGTCTGACATCCTGGGGCCTGCTGGCTCCTCACCTCTAACCTGGGCCCCACCCCATGACGTGGGCTCTCCTAACAATTTTTCTGGGGCCCCCTCAGAGGAGGAATTAAATCTGTACCTCTCAAGAAGCCCCTTGACCTGAGGCGGTTCAGATCTCCCTGCACAGGCTGCCTGGCCCAGGCAGGCTCTTGCTTGCCTGACGGGTCGTCTTGAGCTTCCAAACGTTGGCCCACTTGGCCTCTGCTGACAGAGTTCTTTCTCTGACTCAGAGCAGGCTCCTATGGGCAGCTCAAAAAGATAAAGCCTGCTATTTAAAACTAATCATTTTGGGGGGCCAGCCCTGGGGCTGTGTGGTTAAAGTTCCATGTGCTCCGCTTCGGCAGCCTGGGTTCTCAGATTCAGATCCCAGGTGTGGACCTGCTCCACTCATCAGCCATGCTGTGGAGGCACCCCACATACAAAGTAGAGGAGGATTGGCATGGATGTTAGCTCAGGGCTAATCTTCTTCACCAAAAAATAAAAAATAAAAAACTTAAATAAATAAAAATAACCATTTTGCAAGTGCATGTCATGTGCCAGGCAAGGTGCAAGGACTCGCATGGTCCCTTCTGAGCCCCAGTGCATTGTACATCTCCCTCCTCCAAATGAGAATGCTGTGGTTTGGCCTGGTGGGTCTTGTCCAGCACGGCCCTGCTGCGAGGTGACGGACCCAGGTCCAAACAGAGATTTCCTCGCACTGGAGTCTTGACCCTTCCACTGGATCACTTCATAAAAGTCATATACTCTCATTGTAGAAAGCTAGGGAAAATTCAGAAAAGTTGGACAGAGAAAAATTACCCTTTTCCCACCTCCCAAACAACTTCTATTTCATTTCATTTTTGTGCGTTTCTAAGTCTTTTTGCTATCCCCAAATTTAAATTTTCTTTATAGATGTGATCATACTGTATTTGTACTTTTGTGTCCTTTTTTATACTTGATGAGACATAAATGTTCCCATGTTATAAACCTGCCTTACCTGCCTTACACTTGCTGTTAAAGGCCTCACCGTATTTCACCAAATGGATGCAAGATAACTTCCTACTTGTTCTGTCATTGGCTGTTTCTGTTGTCTTCAGATACTTACTGTTATATAAGTTAGATGCAGTGGTTTGAACACAGAGCCTTTTCTGTGTTTTGGGGTCGTTCGCTCAGCAAGGATTCCCGGAAGTTGTTAATATTTTATGGGATCATGGCAGAGAGCAAAGCTGTGAGTGTTTGCTGTGTGATGATGATGGTGTCTCGTGGCATGGGCGGGCTTGGCGTTTGGTCCTGCCTCTGCTCCTTCCACATGGTGCGACTTCACTCAGCCATGCTGTCAAGGTTTCTGGGCCTTTGCTTCTCATTTGTAAGCTGGAGATGCTGAGGGCATCAAATCCTCAGTGAAGGTTTGAAGAGATGCCCATGATCCCAGCAAGAGCATGTTCCTTTGCCTCTCAGAGACAGGTGTGGGCCTGAGCCGGTGGGGGACCACTGGAATCGTCAGGATGTGGCGGTCATGGAGAGGAAGAAGCTGAGATTCTGGGGGTGGATCCAGGACCACGTGTGCTCTTTCTGGGGAACATGCAAAGGCAAAGCAGGACAGGGGCCGGGACAGGGCCAGGATAGAGCTGGGGCGGCGCCCAGGACAGGACCTCCAGTCAGCATTGAGCTAGAGCTTCCTAGATGCCTCTTGTCTCCGTCTGGAATGGTGCTGCAAACCAGGGGAGGTGGGAAGATGGGGGCCAGCAGGTGGGTTGCAGAGCCCAGCAGACTGTCTGTTTTGAGGGCCGTTTCCAGTCGTTTCCATAGATACTGGGTTGTGGTGACTAATGGGGCTAAGCTTTTAGACATGCGGCTTTAAAAGTCCCACTGCTGGGCCCCCTTCTACGTTCTTCAGCTGATAACACTTTTCTCTTTATAGCTTCTTAGATACATCAGTGATTGGTCTGTGCTATCTTTCATTAACAGCCTGTGAATACAAACTAGGTTTTGGCTACATTATGGAGTAGATATTTTCAGTACACATTCTCCAAATAACCACCAGGCAAATCCTACCTCTGAGCTTGAGTCCCAAGATGTGGTGTGCAGGCAGTTCTTTCAGGCATGAGGGTAATGCCTGTCTAGGAGGCAATGGTCATGTGATAACTTGTGTGGGGCACCCCACTGCCCTGCCTCAGAGAGAATGATGCACCCTTCAATCTGGGGAGCATGACACTGTGCCCAAAATTGCCATGCAGTTTGTCCAAACCATGCAAGTCTGTGAGGTCATCGTTACCATTTCCTTTTTACAAATTAGGAAATGGACTCAGGGGGTTTCTATTGCCTAAGGTTACGTGGGTTGTGTATGTTCTTCGATTGATGGATTTATCCATTCATTCAGTAAATATCTATCTAGTGCTCATCAGTTGGCAGTGTCCTAGGTGCGGAGGACCCAAACATAAGTGAAACTTGATCCTGCCTTTGAGACTTTCCTGGTGCAGGTGGGAGACCTGGGCAGTGAACAGGCCATCCACACACAGCCTGGTGTGCACGGGGTGGGAGCTTGTGCCGGTGTCCTGGAAGCAGAGGTGAGAGGCGGAACCAGAACCTGACTTCTGTAGCCACCCTGTTGCGAAGGAGCCAGCCGGGTGCTTGGGGACAAGGCTCACAGCCTCGTTGGGGACAGAACCACCTGGAAGGCACCGTGGGGCCCATTGTGTCTGAATGTTGCTCCTTCTGTCTCGGTGGCACCTTCTGCATTTGGCCT